CCCCCCGCCGCAAGCCCCGCCCCTGTCACTCACTCTCGCTCTCCTTCCCGCGGCGGGCGGAGGCTCCGCCCCCCCGGCGAAGAGGCGGATCCTCCTCGCGGGCAAGGGAAGGGCCTCCCGCGGCCACGCCCCCGCGCAGGCTCTCGTAGGCGGGCGGGCGCTTCCCGGGGGGCGGGGCTTCGGCAGAAGGTGGAAGGGGCAGCGGCCCGAGCCCCGCCCCTCCCCGCTCGCGCCCCGCGCCTCCCGGCGCGTGGTGCGGGGGGAGGGGCGTGGAGTGGCTGCGCGCGCGGGCGGGGGGCGGCCCCTCGCGGCGCGAGGGCAGGGGCAGGCGCGAGGCGGCCTCGGGGGGCGGGGCCAGAGGGGGCGGGCGGGGCGGCAGCAGGTTGGGGAAAGGCGGCGGGATGGGGGCGGGACCGGAGAACGGGGCGTGGCCGATGAAGGGGGCACGGCCGGAATGGGGGGCGTGTGCAGAGAAAGGGGCGTGCCCGGTGTATGGGGCGTGGCCGGAGTGCAGCACGGGTCCGCTGAAAGGGGCGTGGGCGGTGTGTGGGGCGTGTCCGTAAAAGGGGGCGTGCCCCGAGAAAGGAGCGTGTCCCGGGCCCTCCCCCGCGGGCAGGGGGCAGCTCATCTCCTCGTAAATGGCCTCGGGCTCCTCGGCAGGTGGGGGGGGGGCTCCCCCTGGTCCCCCCCGCCGGGGATCCCCCCCCGGGATTCCCCGGGCGTCCCCCACCATCTCGATGTACACGGGCTCCTCCGCCTCCCCCTGCTCGGACAGAGGTGGTGGGGCTGCCCCGGCTGACAGCCGGGTCTGGGGGCTACGTGAGGGCTTCAGAGGGGGCGTCTGCCGTACGCAGCCCCCTCGGGGGGTGCCTGGGGAAGGGAAGGGTATCAGGGAATGGTACACCCTCCATGACCCCTCAGATTCCTTGCATCCCTTCCCTGCCACCCATACCGCCCCAGGACCCCACCCTAATCTCCCAAAGTCACCGTCCCCTCCCTGCAACCCCTACTAGGTTAAGCTCCTCACTTGCCCCCAGCTCCACCATAACCCCCCAGCCCCGACAAGCCCTCTCCAACGCCCGCCAGTTCCACTCACCACCTCTCTTGGCAGGCGGTGCCTCGAGGCCTCGACCCTCGGGGGGCCCCGTGCGGGGTCCAGGGGGGCGCAGGGGCACCCCTGAGTCAGGGAGCCCCACGGCATGGCAGGACAAGGAGCGGGGGGCCATGCCGGGGGCACAGGGCCGGGGACCACGTTCCTGTGGCGCCGGCAGGGTCAGGAACCCTACACGCAGTGGGCGCCGCAGGGACCCCCCCTCCCGTGCCTTGGGGACCCTGGGGAGAGGACAAAGGGGGTCAGGGCAACCCCGAAAGTTCTGGGGAAGCTGCAACCCCTTTAGAGATGCTCTGGGACTTTGCTCCTGTGCTGCAGGGGCACTTGGGCAGAGGGGGGAACTAGGGTCCCCCATCTTTGGTGGTTCTGAGGTGCACAAGGTGGGCCATGGGTCTCAGGGTCAATCCCAGGAGTACAGGGGGGCACTGGGGCTCTCGCAGGGGGGTTCTGGGAAGGAGAATGGGTCCCAGGTTCCCTCAGAGTGAGTTGGTGCTCTTTGGGTCCTGCCAGGGAAATTCCGATGGGTTGGGTGACCTCCCAGGGTGGTCCCAAGGGATCCCAAAGTCCCCTGAGTGGTTCAGGGTGGTCCTGAGGCGCCTGATGTTCACTGAGGGTGGTCCCAGAGGTACTGGTTTCCCAGCAAGGTAGTCTCGGGCCTTTTCTGGGTCCCTCCCTGGCGGTCCCCAGGGGTCCCAGTGTCCCCGTTGTCCCCTCACCCCTTGCGCGGCTCCTCCTCGCGGGGGCGCCACTCGGGGCGGCCCTTGCGCTGCAGCAGGTTCATGGCGGCCGCCGGGGGGCGCTCCTCGCCCAGGCGCAGCAGGGCGGCGGCGGCGGCGGCGAGCTCCGACCGCGGCGGGGCGCTCATGGCTGGGGGCGGGGCCTTCAGACTCCGCCCCCCGAATTCTGCTCCTGAGACCCACCCGGACCCCGTGTCCCGAGACCCCCCCGCCCCTCCCGGACCGCCTCATGCCCCTGCCTACCGCCACCCCCAAGCCCCAAGCCCCCACTTGGGCGTTAGGTCCCAGTGCCCGCCCTACCAAAACCACCTAGACGCCTCGGTCCCCCCAGGACCCCCCTCCCCACCTGGAGGCTGGGGCCCCTCTGCCCTTCCCCCCAGCTTAAGGAATCCTGGGGTGTCCCTGGCCCCCGCCTACCGGGTTCCCCAACACCACCCGGAACCCTCCGCGGTCATGCCGGGGTGTCCCCCGAACCCACCCGAACGCCTTTGGACACCCGGCTCCGTCCGCTCGCACCGATGCTGGGGACCCCCCCCAAACCCGTCCGGTCCCCCCCAGAAACCCCTCCCCACCCGAACGCTCAAATTATCCTCAGTCCTGGGGTTCCCCCCTCACCCCCCCACCCCTCAGGATGCGGGGTCTCCCCATCCCACCCGGACACCGGATTGCTCTGTTCCCCCCCAGGACTCTTGGCCTCCTCCCACCCCGCCCCTCGTTACCTGTCGCTTTCTCGGGGGTCCCAGGGTTGGGGGGGGGGGGAATCCTGCGCCGCCCCCCCCCCCCCACCGCCGCCAGCACGGCCGGGCCCGGGCCGGGGGCTCACGGGGGGCGTTGGCCCATGGCGGGGGGGGGTCTAGCGGCCTGCGGGGGAGGGGCAGCGGGTGGTCACCGGGTGCGGGAGGGGCACCGGGCCCACCCCCATCCCTCCCCTCCTCCCTCACCGGCCGCTCCCGCCTCCCGCTCGCGCCGCTCCATTGGCGCTGACGCAGCGTCCGGGACGCGCCGTGGCGGCGCTGGCGCCCCCTGGCGGAGCGGAGGACCCGCGGAACGCCGGGGGTCACGTGGTCGAGGGGCGCGCTCTGTGGGCGTGGCTTGCTGCTGTGGAGGCGCGGCCCGGGGCGGGGCGTGCCCGCGCGCGGCCCGGGAATGCCTTAAAGCGCAACATCACTTCCGATTCTCACTTCCGGGTCCTGCCGCCGCTGCCGCTGCCGCCGGTAACGGCTCCGGGCCGGCCCCGCCATGTTCCTCCTCCTCCTTTCGCCGCCGCCGCCTCCATGAGCCGCAAGAAAAGCGGCTTCGCCATCACCAGCGTCCGCGGCAGCAGCGGGACCGCGCCCGGCGATGCCTCGGGCGCCGCGAGCGGTTCTTCATCTTCCTCCTCCGGCAGCCCCAGCGGGTCTCGGTTCCGCCTCGTTCGCTTACTGTCGCCGGGGGAGGTGCTGCGGCGGGGCCGGTGGCTCTGCCGCGATTTCTACGAGCGGGACGCGTCACCGCGGGGAGGTGGCGGCGGCGGGGGGAGGGTCCCGGTGTCGCTGGACGCCCCCCGGGCCGTCCCCGCCGCCCACCAGCCTCGGTCTCTCGGGGCCTTCGCGCAGCTGGTGCAGCAGGTGAGGGGGAGGGGTGTCCTGGGGTGGGGCCCAGGTGACCACGGCCCCGACCCCCACCCCTTTTGTTTACAGGCGCTGCCCCCAAAACCGCCGTCGCCACGCCCAGGGGGCGGGGCCGAGCTCAGTGCGCGCCTGGGATTGGCTGGCGAGGAGAGCGAGGACGAGGGGTGAGGCGGAACTTTTGGTCTGGGAACTTCCGGTGTGGGGGCGGAGCTGGACAGGTGCGAGGGAGGGGCGCCAGGTCCCCTCCCCCACCCTAAAAAGGGGAAGGAAAGGGGGGGGGGGGTGTGAAAGCTCTGCCCCTCCCTCACCCGCCCAAGGTGTCCAGTGGGGGGGAGGGGCGGTGTCCATCGGTCCATCTGACACCATCCTTGTCCCCCTCCAGCTCCGGGAGCGGCATCACCGCCATTGACAACAAGATTGAGAGGGCCATGGTGAGACTTGGGGGGGTTCACAGTGGGGATCCCAGAGGGGCTACTGGGCCTCAGTGGGGGGCTCTGGGTCCCAATGGCAGCTGTAGGACCTGGATTTGGGAGCATTGGGTCCTGGAAGGGAGGCTTTAAGTCACAAGTGGTCGCTATGGGGGCCTGCGGGAGGTGGATGTAGGATTTGTGTCCTGGATGGGGGGCTCTGGGGGGACCCTTACACCTCTCCCCGCAGGATCTGGTGAAGTCCCACCTGCTGCTGGCAGTGCGGGAGGAGGTGGAGGCGCTGCGGGAGCAGATCCGGGAGCTGAGCGAGCGGCGTACGGCGCTAGAGAGGGAGAACCGTGTGCTCCGGGCACTCGCAACCCCCCAGCAGCTGGCCCAGCTGCCGTCCCTGCAGCCCCCTGTGCCGCCCCCAGCACCACCCTGATGTCGGGGGGGTTCTCAGGAGGTTCTCAGGGGGCGGGCAGGGGGCCCACGCTCACTGTACCGCTGCTGCTTTATTGGGAGGAAGGGGGGGAGAGCCACCAAGCTCTCTTGCCCTTCCTGCGCAATGTCGGCCCTTTTTTAATAAACCTTCGATTTTTACAGCACGGGGAAGGGGCCGTATCAATTTTAGGGAAAACCCGAGTGAATTTGGAGTATATAAAAGGGTGCGATCGGCTCCGGCCAAGGAGGGCCTCGAACCCGCGATGTCCGAGGGTCGATGTTGGGAGGGGCGAGAGAACCCCGGGGGGCCGCCATATTGGGGAGGTCAGCAGGGGGCGGGCGCCATTTTTGTGAGGTCATCGTCAGGGGCGTGGCCACTGGCGGAAGAGGGCGTGGCTTCCGCCGCCATGAGGCCGCGCGCGGTCCCGCCGCCGCCGCCCGGGGGGATCCTGAGGCGGGGGGGACGCGGGGGCGGCACCCGGCAGGTGGGGTGGAGGGGGGAACGGGACAGCCCGAGACACAGGGGAACCGACACGCGGCCCTCGGTGACCCCAGTCCTTCCCCTCCAGGTGCGGTTCGCGCCCAGCCCCGCGATCCGGGATGAGGAAACGGAGGATGAAGATGGGGACATCCCCACCCCGGCCCTGGCGACCCCCACCCTGCACAGCAGCCGGGGGGGCCCTGGCGGGGCCCCTCCCGAGCCGTTCGACGCCCCCGGGGCCGCGGCCGCGCTCCTGGGCAGCTCCTTCGCCGCCCGCAGCGCGCTGGGCGGGGCGGCGGCCGCAGGTCAGTGCCGAGGGGGGCTCGGTGCTCACTCACCCCTCCCCTCCTCCGTTTTGACCAAAATCCCAAAATCCTTCTCAGCCATGAACGTCCCCCAAGCCCAGCGGCTCTTCCGCGGCCTCGTCAGCCTGGCCGTGCCGCCCCCGCCGGGGCCGCGGAGGGGGGTCCCGGCCCCTCCCGCGCCCACCCTGCAGGTGAGACCGGACCCCAAATCCTGCCCTGCGCCCCCCCAGTGCCGACGGGACCCCCACCCTTTCCTGCTGTTCCCCCCCAGGTACCGGGGCCACAGCTGAGGGTGCTGGCAGGCGGTGCTGGCAGGGCCATGGGCTGGCCCTGGCTACCCCCTCACAGCACCCCTGAGCCCCCCCGGGCCCTCCCGCGCCCCCCCGGAGCCGCCTTTGCCATGTACCAGAAGCTGCAGCAGTGGGGGGGTTACTGAGGGGGAACAGACCCCAGAAATCCCCCTTTATTCCCCAAAAAAATAAACAGTTATTTTTAACTTTAGATGGCATGTGTGACCTCCTCTTGCCCTGCCTTTCCAAACCTCCCACCCCCCCAAAAAGCAATTCCCCCGCTGACCAATCACCTCCTTTATTCTGGGGCCCCCCCCTCGCACAGAGCAAACCACGGCAAACGGCCGGGGGGGGGGGAGGAACACCCCAAAAATCGGGGGGAGGGGGGAAAACAGAGCCCCTCCCCCCGTTTGGCATCTGGTGGGGTGGGGAGCAACCCCCCCCCTTCCCCACCCCAGGAGCGTCAGGGCCCCCCCAGACCGGGGCCAGTTCTGGGGGGCTCAGGGGGCGTCACCTCGTCCCTTGTGGAAGAGATAAATCGGCCGCTGGAAGCCTGGGGGGGGAAAAAAGGAGGATTGGGTGAAGGGGGCCCCAAATTTACAACCCTCCCACTTCACCCCAAGACACCCCAGGTACCCCCCAGCCCCAAACTCCCCCTGGATCTGAGGTGATTTCCCCCCCTCCCAATGTCTGGGTGACCCCAAACACCCAATTGTGGGTGCCCCCACCCCACCAGAACCTCATTTTCTATCAAACCTGGTGCCCCCCACCCCCAACACTCTGACCCCTAAGACCCCCTTGGGATTGCAGTCCCGCCCCTGGGATTTGGGGTCCCACTCCTGGGATTTGGGGTCCCCCCACCTTTGGAGCTGTGCTGGGGGGTCCCCAGGAGCTCGCAGCGCTCGAACCCCACCTCGGGGGACGTCAGGTATGCCGGGAACTGCTCCGGCCGCAGCCGGATCCGCTGGTAGTTCCGGTACGTCGTCTCCTGGGAACACGGGATCAGACCCCAAGAACACCAAACACCCCCCTGGAGATCCTCCCCCCAATTCCATCCCCTTTAAATGCACCGATCCCCCCAAACCCCATCCCCTCAAACATCCCCCGGACCCCTTTACAATCTCTGTGACTACCCCAAACCTGTCTGGAACCCCTGTGACCCCTCTGTGACCCCCCCAAACAGATTTATAACCCCCCATGACCCCCCAACGCCCCCCAGACTATTTTACACCCCCCCAGACTCACTGTGAGCCCCTTGCGTTTGCGGTAGGATTCCCAGGGCTGCGGCTCGAGCAGCAGGATCCCGCCGGGCCGCAGGTGCCGGAACGCCCTCCGGAAGAGCCGCTTGAGCCCCTCATCGCCCCAGTTGAGCTGCACCCACTTGGTGAGGGACAGCAGCAGCAGCACGTCGAACTCGGGGCGCTGGGCCCCCACGGCCTCCTCGCGCTCCGGGACGTAGTTCCCCTGTCAGGGGGGGCACGGTCAGCGAGCGGGGGGCACCGGGAAGGGGGCTGGGGGCTTGGGGGGAAGGCTGAGCCCCACAGAGGGGGCTTGAGGGGAATGAGGGACGGGGGGGCACCCCCTGAGAGGTTTGTGAGGGTGAGAGGCACACTCTGACCCCCACTAAAGGGTTCTGGGGTACCCATGGAGGAATTTTAGGGGGCGAGGGGAACTTGCTGAGCTCCACCGAAGGGTTTTGGTGGGTGAGGGGTGTGATCTGAGTCACACACAGGGATTTGGGGGGTGGGGGGCACATACTGAACCCCGCTTGGGGGTTTTGGAGGCCCCAGACTGAGGCCCTGAGCTGCCCCACACAGACCCCAAGGATGGAATGGAGGGTTCTGCACCACTCCAACCTCCTGGTGATCCCTTCAGACCCACTGACAACCCCCTGGAACTCACCCGAGACCGCCCAAAATCCCCCTGCACCACCTGCCACCACACAAACCCATCTACGATCCCCCCCCAGACTCACTGGAGACCCCCAAACCCCCCGTTACCTCTCTAGACGTACCAAGATCCCCCAAAACCCATCTAAAACCCAGTTAAAACTCTTCTCGATCCCTCCAGCCCCCTCAAACCCACCAAGACCCCCTAAAACCTTTACCAACCCCCCCCACACCTACCTGTCACCCCCTCAGAGCCACAGAGACTCTTGAAACGTTCCTCGCGTCCCTTTCAGATCCACTAAGACCTTCCAGAACCCATCCCAAGCCCCCGTTCCCGCTTCTCACCCCCCCAAATCCTTCCCGCGCACTCACCGTGACGAACACGACGTTGTGAGGGAAATCGGCGGCCCCGGGCCCGTCGGGCGGGAGCTGCGGGGCAGCGATGGGGCCCCGGCTGGCCAGGAGCGCGGCGGGGAAGCCCTTCCTGGCCCCCCCAGCGGCGTCGCCGTCCGCCCCCAGCCCCTCGGACAGGTAGTGGCGGATGTTCTGCCGGGCCGAGCGGATCAGCCGCCCGTCAATGTCCAGCCCCACGACCCTGGCGGGCGCCCAGCGCTTGGCGATGCTCAGCGTGAGGTGCCCCACGTTGCACCCCACGTCCAGCACCTCCTTCCCCGCGAACCACTCGGGCCGCAGCACCCGCAGCCGCGCGTCCTCCACGTCCGGGTTGCGGTACCCGTAGTATTTGCAGTAATTCCCGTACTGGAACTTGCGCACCTGGTGCCGCGGCCGCTGCGCCGCTTTCCCGGGGGGCTTCGGCTTCTCGGCAGCGGGAGGGGGCGGCGGGCGAGGCCCCTCGGATTTGCTGCAAGTCCGTCGGCGCTTGCGGTGCCGGCCGGGGGCGGGGAGGGCGGCGGGGCACGGCGGGGCGGTGGAAGCGGCGGAGGGTTCGGCGGGGCGGGCGGGCTCCTCACCGGGCCCGCTGCTGCCGCCGGCGGCGTTGGCGGCGCTGGCGCCGCTGCCCCGCTGCTGGCCGCGGTGGCGGTGCCGGCGCCGGGCGCTCTTGGCCGGGGACGCCAAGCGCAGCCCCTCGCCCGGCGCGTTCAGGCTCAGCGGGTCCGTGATGTCCCGCGGCACCAGAATCTCCACGGGGTCGCGGCCGCGCTGCGGGAGCGGCGAGGACTGCGGGGTGCGCGCGTTCAGCGCCCGGCTCACCTCCTCGTCCAGGAGGCTGTTGAGGTTGAGCGGGTCGAAGATGTTCCCGCCGAGCAGGAACTCGGACGGCAGCACCGGGCCGCACTCCGAGGCCGCGCGGCGCCGCCGCTTCCACGGCGGCTGCTTCGTTCCGCAGCTGCTGCGCCGCTTCCCGCCGCCGCCGCCCGCGGCGCGGAGGCCATTGCGGGGACGCGGGGGCTCGGGCGGGTCAGGGGGTCCCGGGGGTGGCGCGGCGGCGGCGGGAGGAGGCGGCGGCGGCGGCGGCACCAGGAAGGCCTCAGGCGCCGCCGCCATGGCGGCCCGGCCCGCGCCTGCGCGCTGCGCCGCGCCGCCCCCGCGCATGCGCCGCCGGAGGGGGGAGCGGGGGGAAGCCGCGCGCACGGGGCCTCCGCGCCCGCCGCCTCCCGCCCGCGATGGCAGCGCCGCGCCGGCCCGGCGGGGTTTATATAGGCGAGAGGCAGGGCTAAGCACGGCCGCGCCCACAGAACAGGGCGGGGAGGAACCGAGCCGCCAATAGGAGCGGCCACGGAGCGCGCGGCGGCCAATAACGGGAGTCGGCGCGCGGGGAGACAGAGGGGGCCTGAAGAGCTTGGGGTGACCTCGGCGAGCGCCTGCTCCGAGACCGCGGGAGAACGGCGGGCGGAGCAGGAGGGGAGGGAGTGGGGGAGATCCTGCTGAAGGTCTGAGGGAAGGGCGAGGAGCGGGGACGGGGAGGGTCGGCGGCTGGAAGGCGGAGCAGGCGGGAAAAGGCCACTCTGCGCGAGGGCCTCGCCGCGCTCGCAGAGGCTGCCGGTAGATGGAGTCCGTGCGGGGGCTGCGCGTGCGCACTGCGACCGCCTTCTGGCCACACACCCCCTCCCGTTCCAGGGCCGGTGTCTCCTCCGTCCCTTGGCCGCGTACTCACGTTACCGTTCCGTTCGTGACGTCACCGAACCGGTTCTACCCCCCCCCCCCCCCCCCCCCCCCCCCCCCCCCCCCCCCCCCCCC